CCAGCAGACTCCAAGGGCATTTAAATTAAAGGTACAGTGTTCTGCACTAATATTAAGTCTCTCTGAAGCCTAGAAACACCCTTTTTTAAGTTAAATTCACAGTGAATATATTCGACTCGAATCGAATATTGTCCACGAATTCGCCGAATCAGTCGAATCGAATTTTTGAATACTTCGCTCATCTCTAGTAATGAGTCTCATATATTAGTTTCACCTTTTAAGTTGCATTATTGAAATAAATGAACTTTTGCACGATATTCTAATTTTTCGAGTTTCACCTGTAGACCACAAAAGCACCATTTAATAACAGGGAAAAATATAGCATTAATATTTATGGCTAAAACGTACTGTTCAAATTTTGAAGACTTTAAACGTGAGGCTAATGCTTTAAGATTCCGTTTACTGGCACGTGGATATTCCAACAAGATGCTCAAAAAAGCATATTCTCAGGCTAATAAACATCCACGTAGAGATCTAATCTTTAAGGTCTCCAAAACCTGAGGCTACTCCTAGTGCCATCAACAGACTAGTTATGACTTACAACAATCAACAACAACCTATTCGGCATATTGTCAGCAAATACTGGTATTTGCTGAAGGCAGATCCCAATGCAGCAACTTTTTTAGAGACGTACCCTGAAATTGCCTATCGTAGAAACAGATCTATCAAAGATGAACTATTTCAGAGTCATTTTGTTAGACCATCCAAATCAATTACTCACACTTATAAAAGACACATATACTGTATCTGTGGAAATTGTGCCTATTGCCAATATATTTCCCAGAGTCGCAATCATACCTTACCGAATGGAAACATCCATAGGGCACGACATTACACCAACTGCCAGACCTATGACGTCATGACGTCATCACTGTGCGTCATTCCATATACTCACAATACTTCCTGTTTGAAGATTTGGTGCCAAACCACCACTATTTAAAGGTCCATTGACCTTTCAGGCACCAAGGACTACACTGGGGCTCTAGCTTGGGCAAACCTTGCCTTTTTTTTTGTCCACTACTGAGACTTTTTACCATCTAGGTGCAACCAAGCTTGGGTTTCATCATTAAATTTTGATGGTTGGTTACCACATCCTTACACAATTGGAACAGTATGTTTTCTTGCATTTATATAATAATGTATATATTTGTTTATTTACTTTAGCCAAAACAATGGGTCTTTTTTGTATTTTGGTTAAATATATTATACATTTCTTTTTGGTCTTTTTTTTCTATTTTGGCCCTTCTCTGTAATATATGCAATTTTTTAACTACAGTTGGAAGAAAAAACTATGTGAACCCCTTGGGATTACGTGGAGTTTTGCATGAATTGGGCATAAAATGTGCTCTGAACGTCATTTAAGTCACAACAATAGAAGAACACAGCCTGCTGAACATAATACTACACAAACATTAGATGTTGCCATGGTTTAATTGCACATAATATGTAAACATTCACAGTGCAGGGAGAAAAAAGTATGTGAGGCCCTAGCTTAAGGACTTCTCCCAGAGCTAATTGGAGCCAGGAGTGAGCCAACCTTGACTCCAATCAGTGTGATGATATTGGATGTGTTGTGAAAACATTAAACAAGAATGGAGTATATGGGAGGACACCATGGAGGAAGCCATTGCTGTCCAAAAAGAATATTGCAGAACGTTTGAAGTTTGCAAAAGAGCACCTGGATGTTCCACAGCACTACTGGCAAAATATACTGTGGACAGATGAAACCAAGATTGAGTTATTTGGGAAGAACACACAACACTGTGTGGAGAAAAAAAGGCACAGCACACCAACATCAAAATCTCATCCCCACTGTAAAACATGGCGGAGGGAGCATCATGGTTTGGGGCTGCTTTGCTGTCTCAGGGCCTGGACGGCTTGTTGTCATTTATGGGAAAATGAATTCCAGAGTTTATCAAGACATTTTGCAGGAAAACGTATGACCATCTGTTCGCCAACTGAAGCTCCGCAGAGGATGGGTGAAGCAACAGGACAATGACCCAAAGCATACAAGTAATTCAACAAAACAATGACGGCAACAGCACAGAATACGCCTTCTGGAGTGGCCCAGTCAGAGTCCTGACCTCAACCCGATTGAAATGCTGTGGCATGACCTTAAGAGAGCGATTCACACCAGACATCCCAAGAATATTGCTACACTGAAACAGTTTTGTGAAGAGGAGTGGTCCAAAATTACTCCAGATCGTTGTGCAGGTCTGATCTGCAACTACAGCAAATGTTTGGTTGAGGTTATTGCTGCCAAAAGGAGGGTCAACCAGTTATTAAGTCCAAAGGTTCACATACTTTTTCCTCCCTGCACTGTGAATGTTTACATGTTATGTGCAATTAAACCATGGCAACATCTAATGTTTGTGTAGTATTCTGTTCAGCAGACTGTGTTCTTCTATTGTTGTGACTTAGATGACGTTCAGAGCACATTTTATGCCCAATTCATGCAAAACTCCACGTAATCCCAAGGGGTTCACATAATTTTTCTTGCAACTGTAGCTTTGGGGAGGAGGGGTGTAGTTAGTTTTCAGAGAAGTAAAATACCTATATATTTTTGTTTTTATTTTATTTTAAAATGTTTTTAGTCTTTAATCATTAATTATCTTATGGACCCTTAGAACATTGCTTTGGCTTTCTGCTATCTATCTGACCAGAGGTACTCCTGGATTGATGGTTCCCTAATAGGACCAAATACTTGGACTGGTGGTTTCCTCCCCGGTGTTCGCTGAATAAAGCTTTCTCCTTAAATTTTCTACCAATATTGATTTTCATCTACTGTACATCAGGTGTTACTATTGAACAGAACACCATCATCAGTTGGTAATTTCTGCCTTTACTGTATTTATCTATTTTTGCGTTACATTTTTATTGAGTTTATTATGTTTCATCTGTATTTTCATTGTTAATTGGTTTTCTATTTTTTGATTCCACTGCAGGCACTGTTTTGTTTTTCCTAAATTCCCTGAAGAAGTGGGTCATATTCCATGAAACGTGTCAGATCTCTTGATTGATTATCCAGTTTTCTAATTCAATCCTATGGAAAAACATTTTGTTATTTTACCTGTTGAATGACTATCAGTTTCTCTAGTGGTATCGGTGAGGCTCCAGGACTCATGCCCATGATGCTTTTGTGTCCCGGGCCGGAGTCTTTTGTACGCTGTTGCCATTGGATTTCTTGATCGATTTTTTACAGTTCCTTATTCAATCTTATGGAAAAACATTTTTGTATTTTACTTGTTTAATGATGATCTATTTCTTTAGCGTTATCTGTGAGGCTTCTGGACTCTTGCCCGAGATGCTTTTGCATCCCGGGCCAGAGCCTTTCCCCACTGTTGCCATTTATAGATATATTTTGTTTTTGTTGCTTTATTATGCATGTGCCTATTTTGGCTGTTGTCTCTTACCACTTGTGTTTTTTTTTATAAAAATATAATAAAACATGTTCCATTTTATCTAGTGTTTCCATGTTGTGCATTTCTATACTTTCATATGGTATGGTGTGTCTTGAAAAGCCCCATTAGTTTTTCCTCTGTTAGAGTATTTGCTTTTTTCTGATTAAACAAGGGTTTGGCACCTATAAAACCACTACACAATGACAGGTGAGATTGAATGTCTCTCTAGCTCCCATCCAATTTTCCGATCTACCTCAAATCACAATGCAACCCTTCTTGTTGATAATATATGTTTACTATTTATGTTTTGTGGATAAGTTCTGGATACAACCGATCCAAGTTGGGGAATATGTAGTATATTATGTGTAATTATATATATATAATATATATATATATATATATATATATATATATATATATATATATCTCCATATACACACACACATACAGTTATTTTCAAAATAATAGCAGTGTGTTGAAAAAAAGTGAATAAAGCTCAAAATCCTTTTATTAGCTTTTATTTCCATACACACAAATGCATTGGGAACACTACACATTCTATTCCAAATCAAAACATTGAGAACAATATATCAAATTTCTGTTGTTCCTCTAAAAAAATTGAAGAATAATGAAAATTAGACTGTTCAAAAAAATAGCAGTGTTTGTATTCTTCTTTACAAACTCAAACATTCACTATATAAACTGAAAAAAGTTTGAAGATTTTGCTTTCCTTTGAAACAATTAATATTTAGTTGTATAACTGCTGTTTCTGAGAACTGCTGTACATCTGTGTTGTATGGAGTCTGTCAGGGATCCTGGGTGTGACCAGAAATGTGTGGACTGACACAGGGAAGTAGCAGGATTCAGGAACACAGGTGTAGTCAGGGCTGGAGAGGTGGAATGGTCAGGCGGGCCGTAAGGTACTGTCAGGCACCGCCCGGCGGGATCTCTAGTGACCCACAGAACAGGATTCCCCAGGGCGCGGAGTCTAAGCCCCAGTCTGCCTTTTCACCAGAGCCCCTGATGGTGGGGATGGACTTGGCACAGGACTGAGACCAGGTCGCAGCCCCTGAGTGCACCCAACTGTGGTAGAGGGGTCTGCCGAGGGTATGTACCGGGGGAAAGCCTGATGTGAAGGGGCTGGCAGGTTTGGACAGTAGTGACTGGATCCGTGCGGGATGGATGGATCGTCTGGGTAGCGTAGTCAGGCAGGCCAGGTCAGCAACGTGCGGGCAGCGAGGTACCGGAGGAGCAGGCAGAGAATAGTCAGGGTCACAAGCCGGGTTCAGTAACGCACGGGCAGCGCGGTACAGAGGATCAGGCAGAGAATGGTCAGGGTCACAAGTCGGGTTCAGTAACTCACGGGCAGCATGGTACAGAGGATCAGGCAGAAGGATGGTCAGGCAAGCTAGGGGTTAAACAGGAGACGGTCAGCAGGGTCAGGAACAATGCAGAGTCGGCAACAAATCCGCTAGGCAGACACCAAACATACACCAAAGCACTGACTGCAGGTCTGGCCATTCCTTAAATACACCTCCTGCAATCAGCCCCAGGTGTTGGCTGATTGCAGGAGTGAGCTTCTGGCTGCTGAGAGCACCCGCTGGTCAGCCCTGGTACTGCAGCCCACATGGCAGGTGAGTCCCACCACCAGTGCTGAGTCCATTCCTGACAGTACCCCCCCTTCAAGGAGCGGCCTCAGGACGCTCCAAACAGTCCTTAGTGGGCAAAATGTTCCACCGCCCGGGTCAGGTAACTGGCTGGATATCTTACTGCCGGAGTCAACCGGCTGGCTGAGTTTCCTGCTGGCAGACTTCTCTTTATGTAGGGGAACCCAGGAAGGCAGGTTGCTGGACACAGGATATCCAGGAGCAGGCTGGGAATCAGTTATTGGCCAGTTTAGCTGGACATCAGGGGCTGGCACATCAGGCGAAGCACCAGGCACCGGGCCATCAGGCAGAGCAGCAGGCAAGGCAGCGGGCACCGAGTCATCCGGCACGACAGCGGGCACCGAGTCATCCGGCACGTCGACGGGCACTGCGTCATCTGGCACGACAGCGGGCACCGAGTCATCTGGCACGACAGCGGGCACCGAGTCATCTGGCAAGACAGCGGGCAGCGAGTTACCAAGCTCGACAGCGGGCACCGAGTCATCTGGCACGACAGCGGGCACCGAGTCTCCAAGCTCGACAGCGGGCACAGAGTCATCTGGCACGGCAGCGGGCACTGAGTCATCTGGCACGACAGCGGGCACCAAGTCGCCAAGCTCGACAGCGGGCACCGAGTCACCAAGCTCAACAGCGGGCACCGAGTCATCTGGCAGAACAGCGGGCACCGAGGCACCAGGCCGGACAACGGGCACCGAGGCACCAGGCTGGACCACGGGCACCGAGGCACCAGGCCGGACCGGGTCATCAGGCTGGATCGGGCCATCAGGCTGGATCACGAACACCGGGTCATCAGGCTGGATTGGGTCATCAGGCCGGATCGGGTCATCGGGCATCAGGGAATCAGGCTGGACAACAGAAGGCGGGTCCTCAGACAGCAGGCTGACCGGTTTGGATACTGGTAGGATGTTACTGGTTGGAAATAATTTTTGCTTCTTCTTGGGTTTAGTTACTGGAGCACTGTAAGTAAATGCAGGTCTGTAAACGGATGGAGCAGCTGAAGACAGGGAAGAGCCGGAGGATGGAACAAAGGAGGGAGCAGTTGCTACAGAGGACTTCTTTACAGGGTTAAAGGCAGGATAGGTGCAGCGAGTGGGAGCAGGGGACTGACATGTGGTAGATAGCAGGGTATACTGGGCTGTCATTGGGGGGTGCTGTCGGGAATGCAGGACGAGAGCTTTGAGCAGAGAAATGATGAGAAGCAGGACTGGTTTGTTGCAAGCTGACTGAGGCTGGATGTAACAAGTCTGACCAGGACTGCAGTATGGGTTGAACACAACTCCGCTTACACATAGCCTGCCTGACCAAAGACTGCACTGCGTTTATACACTCCACTAGCACATGTGATGGACAAGCTGCATAATGCTCATGGAAGCAATCTGGATCCTCCTCCAACAACCATGCCAGCGATTCCACTTGATCTGCACTGAATGGGGGAAAAGAGTCATCCCTGCTTTCAGGGGTACTACTAGCTGAAGCCAACTCCACACAAGCCTGAATTAATGGTTGCACCTCAGAGAACTCTGTGCCCTGATCTACCAGGGAATGCGCGACCCCTATGCATTCTAGCAGCTGATCCCTGGTATACTCCTGCAGAGTCTCATAGGCATAATCTCTGTCATCAAAGACTAGCAGAGATAAATACACAACCTCATCAGGATGCATCCTTCCCAGCAACAAGCCAAGATGGCTTCCCTTTGCAGCCACTTCTGGTCAGGAATGGCCTTGGTGTAATGTCAGCAACGTGCGGGCAGCGAGGTACCGGAGGATCAGGCAGAGAATGGTTAGGGTCACAAGCCGGATTCAGTAACTCACGGGCAGCACGGTACAGAGAATCAGGCAGAAAGATGGTCAGGCAAGCCAGGGTCAGGAACAATGCAGAGTCGGCAACAAATCCGCTAGGCAGAGGAACAGGAACACAGGATACAAGGTACAGGGGCTCATGGGAAACAACACCAAGGCACTGACTGCAGGTCTGGCTATTCCTTAAATACATCTCCTGCAATCAGCCTCAGGTGATGGCTGCCTGCAGGAGTGAGCTTCTGATTGCTGAGAGCACCCGCTGGCCAGCCCTGGTACTGCAGCCAACATGGCAGGTGAGTCCCACCACCAGTGCTGAGTCCATTCCTGACAGAGTCAACCAACTTCTGGCACCTTTGAACAGGTATTCCAGCCCAGGATGATTGGGCTACATTCCACAGTTCTCTATTTCTTGGTTTTGCCTCACAAACTGCATTTTTGATGTCACCCCACAGGTTTTCTATTGGATTAAGATCCGGGGATTGGGCTGGCCACTCTATAACGTCAATCTTGTTGATCTGGAACCAAGATGTTGCACGTTTACTGGTGTGTTTGGGGTCGTTGTCTTGTTGGAACACCCATTTCAAGGGCATTTCCTCTTCAGCATAAGGCAGCATGACCTCTTCAAGTATTCTGATGTATTCAAACTTATCCATGATCCCTGGTATGCGATAAATAGGCCCAACAACATAGTATGAGAAGCATCTCCATATCATGATGCTTGCGCAACCATGCTTCACTATCTTCACAGTGTACTGTGGCTTGATTTCAGTGTTTGGGAATCGTCTGACAAACTGTCTCCGGCCACTAGACCCAAAAAGAACAATCTTACTTTCATCAGTCCACAAAATGTTGCCCCATTTCTCTTTAGGCCAGTCAATGTGCTCTTTGGCAAATTGTAACCTCTTCAGCGCATGTCTTTTTTTTCAACAGTGGGACTTTGCGGGGGCTTCTTGCAGATAGCTTGGCTTCACATAGGCGTCTTCTAATTGTAACAGTACTCACAGGTAACTTATAGACCTTCTTTGATCTTCCTGGAGCTGATTGTTGGCTGAGTCTTTGCCATTTTGGCTATTCTTCTATCCATTCGAATGGTAGTTTTACGCTTTCTTCCATGTCTTTCAGGTTTTGGTTGCCATTTTAAAGCATTTGCGATCATTTTAGCTGAGCAGCCTATCATTTTCTGCACTTTTTTATATGTTTTTCCCTCTCCAATCAACTTTTTAATCAAGGTACACTGTTCTTCTGAACAATGTCTAGAACGACCCATTTTCCTCTGAATTTCAGAGAGAAATGCACTGTAACCGGCATGTACAACATTTGCTGCCTTCCTTCCTTAAATAAGGGCAATAATTGCCACCTGTTTTTCAAAGAATGAATGACCTCACTAATAGAACTCCACACTGCTATAATTTTGAACATGCCCCTTTCAATTAGTGATTCAATTACACAGAATCAGCAGCATGCATGTCATGACTGTTGGGTCTGTTGGATTTCTGTTACTCTACTACACCTGCTAGTAAATTATTTGCCATGGAGAAATATCATTTCTACCAAAAACAGTGATTGATCAGGTTAGTGATGTCTAACTGCTATTATTTTGAACACAACTGTATATATACACACAGTGAAGGAAATAAGTATTTGATCCCCTGCTGATTTTGAATGTTTGCCCACTCACAAAGAAATGATCAGTCTAAAAATCGAATGGTAGGTGTATTGTAACACAGAGGCAGAATAGCAACAAAAAATTCAAAAGAAATGCATGTCTAACACATTATGCACTGATTTACATGTTCATGAGGGAAATAAGTATTTGATCCCCTTCACAAAACATGACTTAGTACTTGGTGGCAAATCCCTTGTTGGCAATCACAAAGGTCAGACATTTCCTGTAGTTGACCACCAGGTTTGCATACATCTCAGGAGGGATTTTGGCCCACTACTTTTAGCAGATCCTCTCCAAGTCATTAAGGTTTGGTGGCTGACATTTGGCAACTCGAACTTTCAGCTCCCTCTACAGATTTTCAATCGAATTAAGGTCTGAAGGCTGGCTAGGCCAGTCTAGGAAAAGAAGGAAGATGAGAAGGAAAAATTAAGAAAGAGTTGGGGAAGGAGGGTAAAAGGGGAGGGAGGGAGAGAGGAGGGAGAAAAGGGGGATATGAGGAGAGCAGAGGGATAATGAGTATTCACAGAGTTCTGATGTGCGATGATAGAGTGAGTACCTAGGCCTCTAGGAAGGTCGACAGAGGGTATACTACTTTCAGAGTTCTGTGTAGAGATGTCTAGACAGTCAAGTGACTAAGCACCCTATGATTAACAACCAAATAATAATACGAGCATCAATTGAGCAGAGGAAGACATTGAGCAAAAGATATACAGACACTATACAAAGAGATTATGTCATGTTGTAACATTTACGGGGGGTGGATATGGGCAATACTTGCCATAAGACCTGCTAGAAGATTCCTTTGTTCTGACAAAGAGAAAGATATGGAAATATATAATTGCCATTTACAAGCAAGGGATTCAGATCTATAAGGGCATGAAGAAAGTAGATCAAGCTTGTCCTTGTGAAAGAGGTGAATTAGTTCTTGTTTAATATTGGATATAGTGGGAGGTGCAGCTTCTACCCATTTTTTCAGAAAGGCTCTCGGAGACTTTGGGAGCTGAACTCTGGTCACAAATTGTGCAAGGCAAAGCACTTGATCCCAGAATTTAGAGATTTGAGGGCAGAGCCAGAATCTGTGTTTGAGAGTTGGCATAGGAGAGTTGCAAAGAGGACACAGAGATTGTCAGAGCGGTTTTGGAGAAGGCACAGGGCATATAGGCAGATGGCAGATATCTTAAATTTGCCTTTGCTCAAAAGGGTGTCAATCAATGATGACCGAAAACGAGTAAGCTTTTCAGGGACTAGAGATTTCACATAATTTAGTACTTGCATGATGTATATGAAATGGTGGGAGGGCAAGGCCAGGCTCCGTAGGGTAGGTTGTATTGATTTAGGAGTACCGGTAGAGGTGTCAAAGAGTTGTGATACTTGTGTAAGATTGTGTGCGCGCCAAATAATATAGGCAGCATGTTGCTGGGGGAGAGGGAAGGAGGGATTACCATGTATTGGGAGGTAGCGGGACACCCGTGGGGATATGCCCAGTTTATGCCTGACTTCTCTCCTTGCTACAAGAGTGTCTCCTATAAGAGGGTTTTTTTTCAAATGGGGTGCGAGCATGTTTACATTGCAATGCAAAATTGCGGCTAGACTATATGGATGAACCATAGCAGATTCAATCAAGTAGTTGGAATAATTGGAAGATTTAGATAACCAGTCTAGGCTTATGTGTAATAAACAAGCATCATATGATGCCCTCCCAGAACTGGCCGGCCACAGTGAAGCTATTATTTGGCTATCTGCGGTCGGCAAGTGGTTAAAAGGGAGGTCATTGATAGAGCTGGCAGACTAATCCTATGCTAACTCTTGTCAATAGGCAGACAGTACCTGTATAACTGGAGAAAAATGTTAATTGGTCAGATGTTCAGTTGTTTACTGTCCTAGGTATTGGGGGTTGTAGACACTGTAGTCTTAATTGTTGCTTTTAGTAAAATGCAAAGAGTCTTTTCATGTTAGGATGAAAAGTGCTTGACCAACCAATCAGCTGTTTTTTTAGATGGGGGTAAGAAACTGTATATCAAGAAAAGTATTTTTGACATGACATCATGATGAAAACACACGCCTAAAAAGATAACATACATCATTCCATGCATGGAAGTTACCTAGGTGCATATTATAGACTGAAAATATGTTGGACAGGTAGAATATCTCTATGCCTACTAATGTATCATCAGAGCAGGATTGGGTACATTGAAGGCTTCTGATCATTGTATTATTTGCACATACTCTGTGTACTCTGTTCTGTGCTTGGACCCAATAAATGCAAGCCTCTCTGGAGAACCAAGTTGCTGAAGAAAAAAATCATTTCTTGGATAGAGGAG